CCAGGTCCCTGGTTGAGGGTGTAGGAGAGGCAGTTGATCGATGTTTCTCTTACACATCGATGTTTCTATCCCTTTCTTTCTCCTTCTCTCTAAAACTACATAAATATTAAAAAAAAAGATTAAATAAGTTTCTTCAGGTAAAGTGCCTAGGAAAGCACAGTTGGCACATCAGGGTTACTTACATAAATGTTAGCAGAGTTTTTTTTAAAGATTTTTATTTATTTATTTTTAGAGAGAGGGCAAAGAAGGGAGAAAGAAGGAGAGGAACATTGATGTGCAAGAGAAACATTGATCAGTTGCCTCCCAACCAGGGACCCAGGCCAGTGGCCGAAGGATGTGCCCTGACTAGGAACTGAACCAGCAATCTTTCAGTTCACAGGCTGGTGCTCAGTACCCTGTGAGTCACACCAGCCAGGGTGATAAATGCTAGTTCTTAACAGTTATGTCCAGCGAGGGGTTTGGGAGGCCACTTGGGAAATAGAAAAACTAAGATTCAGAAGATATGGGTTCTAGTCTAGCTTTGCTATTAATTATGGTGTGACCATGGTCTCACTTTTATTATTACAGTAAGCATCATATACTTGTTTTGTGTTTTAGGTGTGAAGGTACTTTTTGAAAAACATGAAGTTCTATGCAGGTCAGGTGTAATATTTACCTGAAGATCATTATGGCGCCTTGCTTACAATCACTGACTGAGAAAGAGAGAAAGGCACTCACCTTTCTTGAGGGCAGTTTCCTCAATCCTCTCCAAGTAATATATATTGAGCAGAGGTAAGATGCTTTGAAGTATTGGGCCTGGGAGGGCTACAAAAACCAAAACACAAAATTTATTTTTTTCTTCTTCTAGGGTTCTAAGCATTTTGTATCCTATTGCGGGGGGGGGGGGGGAGGGGAGGGCAGAAACATGGAAGAGCAGACTTCCCACATGACAAATGGAACCTATAGAAGCTACCCTATGTCAAATTCAAACTCCGATTCACTTATCTTCAGCCACTTAGTTGGCAGCTGGAGTTTCAAGGCCATATACATCTACAGGGGTGAGATAATCCCACAAAGCAAGCTAATATGATCATTTAGCAGCTGGTCAGTTCACTTCTGCCCAAGCATAATGAACCATTCTGCATTTAAAAAGTCCTGCTGAATATGTATGATTAAAAAAAGTCCTTTATAATCTGGGCTCTACTAACTTCTCCAAACCAGCTCCCTGATTTGCCTCTTATACTTCAGCCACACTAAACTACATTTTTCAATTATCTAATGTTTTATACTTTTTCTGCCTCTGTGCATGAGATTCACTTTGTTATGCTGTCCTTTCCACCAGGAATATCCTTGCCACTTTCAGGATAACAGCTCTTCATTCAAGTATCACATGCCCTTTATTAAGCATTTTTTGAATTCTCTTCCCACTCTTTCAGGTTGGCTGCTTCCATCCTTTGGGCACCCACTATATCCAGAACTAGTACAATCCTATGAATAATAGAAATAATTAGGTTCTATACTCAAAATTCAATATATCTGAAATACAAAATCTGCTTGCTGACCTCCCGAGATCAGAGAGGTATTACAGCATCGTAGCTAAACAGTTTGGTCTCTAGAGTGGCACAATATTGGGTGAAATCCTGACTGTACCACTTACTTAATTGTGCATCCTTAGGCAAATTAACATCTTTCAGACTAAATTTCCTCAATTTTAAAATGGAGATAATAATAACTATTTCATAACACTGTTGTGAAAATTAAAGGAGATCGTGCTTGTAATCTTTTTAAGACCATGCTTGGCCATAATAAACTCACTAAATGTTGGTGATTACTATTCTTTTCCTGTCAATAGCATCTCTCTGTCCAGCCAAGAGTAAGTTTGAGATCTTGTAGTATATCACATCTAAGGAAAATCTTTAAGAACTTCCATTCCAGGATCTCCTTTTATACTTATTTGTGGAATGACTGAATATTGCGATCCAAGAATCTAGTACAATTTTTTGTACATAGTAGCTACTCAATGCACTTGCTGAATGAAAGCACTAATTCCCTATGCTATTACACTAACGCAAGCTCTCTATTGCATTGAAGATTAAATCCAACTCCATATACTGGCATTCAAGGTATAACACACCTATTCTACTTTCTCTCCTCATTGTATCCTTTCCTGATGCCTCTGTTTTTTTTCTCCTCCTCTCCCAACACAAAGCAAAATTAGTCCTCTACCTCCAAGAAGCCCTTCATGACTCTTAGCCCACACTGAAACCTTCCTCCAAAACAGCACTGCTTAGCAGGCCTCTTACTTGGCTCTTCTAAGAGGCCTAACTTGATCCAGCTTTCCCTGTGTGACTGTTGACCTGGGTGAGGCCCACGGGAGCTCTTTCTCCTCTGTCCCTCCAATCTGCTCCCCTGAGTTTAGCCGTCCCCTCTCACAACCACAGGGATTCTCATCCCCTATTATCCACAAACTCCTCTCTTCCTTTCTCTATTCTTCTTAAGCCAGGGTCTTCCTTGCTACTCTCCAGTTTACACCTTCATTTCTTCCTTTTCCCAACTTGGGGCCTCCACACCCAGTCCTCTTTCCTCCTAGTCAGATTTAGCATCCTGGAAGCTCCAGGCTGACACAGCCAGATCCTGTCTTCCTTCTTCCACGTTCCCCAGGACTTTTCTGAGCCCTCGGCCCAGCTCCACTGAGACTTTTCTCCCATTCCCCATGGGTCAGCGGGACCCTTCTCTTCTCAGCTGTTGGCACTGAGGCTCCACAATCCCCTCCCCCCACCAGGCCTGACCTATTCTAACAGTCTTTCCGCGGTACATAAAGACACAGGCCTCTTCAGGTTCTGTGACCCATCCCCACCACATACTCCTGGGCCTCCTTAACCACTCTCTACAGCCGTGGGAATATTCCCCGAGGCCCAACGCCCCAAACACCTCCTCATGGTGCAACCCAAGCCCCCACCCCAGGACCTCAAGGCCTCACTTTTGACCTTACCAGGTACTTCCTCCTAGCAAAGACACCAACACCACTCCCGAGGCCTTCTCTAGAACCCCCACCCCCACCCCCAAGGCCTAGGGCCTCCTTTCTTACCACCCCTCCCAGTTCTTTCCTAGGCCCAGGGCCTGGCCTGTAACATCCCCACCCAACTTCAGTCCTGGCCTCTGGACCCCACCCCCTCACACCACCAGTGTCAGGCACTGCAGGCCCAAGGCCTCCCTTGCCCCCGTGTAGACAGGCCTATCCTTCAGAGGCCCTTACTTTTCTCTCTTTCACCCTGTTAGTCCCCAAGACGCCGACCCACCTTCTCCTCACCAGCGGCCAAACTGCGGCCGAGGGTACACACCCCACAGCCCGGCCTCCTCGTGCTCATCGGGCGGCAGGCCTACTCTCCCGTTACCCGGCCCACCCGGGCCTGCCGTGCTCGCAGGCCCACCAGCTAAGCTGTTCATTTCGTTCTCCTCAGCTCCTCATCCCGGCGGCCCCAGGATGCCCGCCTTTGCTGCTCAGCCTGGGCGCCCTCCACCCGAGCCGGGCCCGTGGGTCCCCGCCGCTCTCAGGCCTGGGGCCTCCTTTCGCTCCCACTCGGACCAGGGCCTCCTAGCGGCGGTGCGCCCCCCGCCCCCAAGTCCAGGATCCCCGGCCGTGGCCCCGCCTGGGGCCTCCTTGGCCCTTCCCGCCTGTCCGTCATTCGAGCCTCCCGGGATCGCAGACCCGCTTCGGGCCTCCCTTCACCCGCGTCCAGGCCCTTCCTCGCCGCTCAGGCCAATACAAGTGGCCCGGGGCGCTCCCTGCCTTGCCCGTCAGTCTGTCGCTCAAGCAGCTTGGCACCCGAGGCCCCGCTCGTCAGTTCGCTCGCCTCTGCCCTGGGCCATCACACAGGCCTCGGCACCCGAAGCCTTTCGGCCTCTCCCCCTGCCCCATCCTTCGCTCCCCAATCCAATGGGCTACACTCTTTCATCGTTTTGGCCTCCGGGGTCTCGGCACTCCGGGGTCTTGGCCGCTGAAGTCTCGGTGTCTGTCAGGCATATGCCAGAGACCCCGCGCCGTCAGTCAGGTTGGGTGGCCCCGGGCCTGGCCTCTTTGCCTTAGGCCGGGCCTCCCAACCTCGGCCCCCGCCCCCAAATAGCAGGGCCATCCCTGCCCGTCGGCTCGACATCCGAGCCTTCCCAGTCCGGTCTAGCCAGAGTGTCAGTTCGGTACCCACGGCCCAGCCCGTCAGTCCTGCCCCTGCCTTCTGAGCCCTGTCGGCTTTGCCCTAGCCCGGGCCTCCTGGCCTCGCCCCCCGCGCCCCCCTGCCAGGCCGCGGTGCAGGTCCACCTGCCGATTTGGTCCCCATCTTTACTCTGCCCAGACTCGTCAGTCACGGAATTCGTTCTCCGACCAGACTGTCTGCCTTCCAGTGCCCCGGGCTGGGCCTTGCCCCGGGCCTCCCGGCCTCGCCCCCCGTGCCCCCCGGCCGCTGGGCCGCCTCCGCTCGTTGCCAGAGGTAGCCCCTCACCCCGCGACTTACCCCACACCCCGCTCTCCAGAACCCCCATATGGGCGCTCACCGCCCGCCCGCACAGCTCGAACAGGGCGGGGGGAGCGCTGGGGCCCGAGGCCGAGCTCTTCGCTGGCGCCGCCTCCCGGGACGTGGCCTCCATGGTCGTTGCCGCCGCTACCTCACAGAACCAGCAACTCCGGGCGCGCCAGGCCTCGGGCGCCGCCATCTTGGGGAGGTGCGCGAGCCCGAGAGTGACAGCCGCGGACCGCCATCTTGAAAAGGTCAGCAGTTAGGACGGTTTCATCAGCGATGTGGGTACGAATGGGAACTGCGCTAAAGGAACAGCGAATAAATCTGCATACTTTCAAAGTCCTTTAGAAGGTCATATTTTAAATAAGTCTATAGACAAGCATATTTGGGGCTGGCGTGACTAAGGGGGCATTTCTTAGTAAATCCATTTCAGATGCAAAATACCAGCTACCCCTATCCCCTGCCTGTGGACGATAGTACATGCCAATCTGAGCGTGTGTTCGCGACTACGACGAGTCTGCCGCACTTCCGGCCATATCGCCGGATATCCGCTGAGTGACCCTTACAAGTCCTTCTTGATTTTGAAGTGGAAAAGGTGCGGGTTTTGCTGCTGGTATTGGATCTAGAATCGTAGCCGGACATGGGGCTGGAGGACGAGCGAAAGATGCTGACTGGGTCCGGAGATCCCAAGGAGGTAAGAGGATCGATTCGACCCTCTTGTCAAGGGTCAGGACCTAGCCCGCCAAAACACGCCTGGAGCCCCTTTGGCCCTCCTTCCCCCACCTTAGAGTTTGCATGATCTGGAGAGCTGGTTCCCTTGACCCTTCCCCAGAACTCGTCGGATGACCTTGGGCAAGTAGATGACTAGTCTTTCTCTGGGCCTTGACCTTCCCATTCTGTGACTATGGCGAAGGTTTAACGAGAGCGGAAACTGTGTTGACTGCTTTTGAAAAAATAGTATCTGCATTTTTAGTCAGTCAGGTGTCCCTGATTTGACAGGTTTGGGAAGCAAGCGATCAACCCTAACCCTGGCCTCAGCTCTCAGGTTAGGAATCCCTGCCACATCTGTGGAGGTTCCAGAGATCTGGCCTTACACTAGTTTCTGTGAAAAAAAAATGGTTTTTTTCCTTCTTTGTGGGGGCTGGAGAGCGATATCTTTGGGGACATTGTAGGAATGTGCATTATAATTCAGTGATTAAAGAGGAAGCTCTCTTCCAGAGTAAAAATGCCGATGTAATAATGACTGCTTACTATTTCAAGTGCATTATATGTGCTAATTCATTTAAGCCACACACTAGTCCTCTGAGGTATTAGGGACTATTATTGCCATTTTACAGATGAGGAAATGAGTGTAGGGAGGTTAAATATCTTCTCTTAAGGACACACAGCTAATAAAACCATGGAGCCAGGAACTGAACCAAGCAGCATGGTTCCAGAGCTAACAGTCAACCACAATGCCATACAGCTTTACAGAAGCCAGCTAGCTTTTGTTTCCAATTACATTTCCTATCTATTCTCTGTCACTTTGGGGCAGCTATTTTGTGCCTATGGGTTCAGGGTAATTGGAAACTAGTTCATCCCATAATTTTTCCTGGTAGTGTTTTCAGAAGGAGTACCAGAAAGACATGGAGTCAGCTTTAGGAAGTTCAGGGAGTATACCAGAAACTTTAGTAGGGCTCACCACAGCAGTAGATGAGAGAAAGGAAGTAAATAAGTGCTCAGTTTTAAAATTAAGAAAACGGGCTCTTTTATGCAGAACACATACTACTTGGAGATAAATCTTTTTACTTAGTGTGACATAGATTTTTCTCATTGACTGGAAATTTGACATTAGGTAGTTCATATTCAGACTTGTATGTGGATTTGTTTTTCCAAAACAAGCCATGATACTTTTGATGCAAAATTATCAAAGATACAAAACAATTAATGTAGTAGTATTGCTAATAAGGAAATGATATAAAGGTCTTGCTTCTAGGAAGACTAATTTCTGGTTTCTAAGTCAGGCAGAATGTGACTTGTTTCTTTCGGCAACTTTTTCAGTATTTTTTTTTTTTTTTAAGAACAAGGTTAAGAAGACTTATTTAATGAAAAACTAAAATTTTACATCCTAAATGACACCTTTATGTGTAGAAGAGACCTTTGCCAATTGTGGGCATAATAACCTGGGTTACAGCTGAGCTTGCCCTACCCTTCCCAGCTTTCATGGGCTTTAGTTTTTTACCTGAAGGGCATGGTAGAGAATGAGCCAGATTGTGTTGAAGTTTTGAAAACATAATGAGGGGTTGCTGAGCTAGTTCTTATATTTCCCTCTATACCTTTTCTTTTCCTTCTTCCACAAGTGGACATGTGCATGACAATTTGAAGTACTGATCAGATAGACTCTGCTACACCCCAGATTTAGGCCTATGCTGATGTTCCCACATCTAATATTGTTTACACTGTTTCCCTTGGAAGAAAGGAAACTAAGTTTGAGATTCTGCATCAGAATCAGAAATAAATGGGAAGGGCTTAGTGTTTCCAAGCTTGTGAATAGAGACATGTAGATGTTTTATATTGATAGTTTACTTGGAGTCTTAGGAGTTTGGCAAGCCAAAAAGTAGTGGCTGTAGCCATCTTCAGTTAGACTCTGGCTAAAAAAGAGTTTAGGTTTGGCCATTTTCGTATTCCCAATTCAAGTTCAGAATCTAGAAAAAAAATGTGAGTTTTCGTCTTACCTTAGTTTGTGACATAAGGACTAAATTTAGCTAATAAGGGGACCCGCCAGACTTTAGAACAAAACACTTTCTAAAGTTATGGAGGTTCCATATGAACATATGGCAGCATGAATCGGTATCAGAAAATGTCTAATTAATGTTATTTCTCAGCTGAGAGTTCCTTAGGGCGGTTGTGATTAATCAAATTATTATAGATATGGAAGTGCTTTGTAAACTTTATAGCATTGTGCATGCTTTAGGTTGTTGCTAATGAAAGTGAGATAGTATGTCCTTGTTGAAATGTACCAGGATTTGTTTTAAGCAGGTATGGTAATGCCATGCCAGCTAGGGCCACATAGAGAAGTGCCTGACCAGCCAGGAGCAGAAGGGGCAAAGGAAACCGGACCTTTGGTTTGAGGGAAGGAATGGGTGTGGTAGGATAGACAAGCTTTAGCAAGTTTAGGATTGAATGGTTTAAATCATTTCAGTGGGCTCTGGGTTACCGGGGTTGTCCCTCCAGTTGTTTGGTACTTGGCCCTGGGATGATTAAGGCAGGTGCAATAATTGGTTTAGTGTAGGAGAGTTAGTTAAAGGAAGCGGTTAGTGGCAAGGGTTTTGGATTGGTTGTTTTGTATATGAGATGCCTGCTGCCAAGACAAATTGTTTAGTATATCTAAAGTTAGCTAGCCCTGGGAGGGGCAGTCTCTTCGGGATTGGCAAGTCCCCCAAAATGTCAAAGCATCATAAAATACAGAAATTTTAAAACATGATTAATATAATGTCTATAGCCTCAGTAATTGCAATATCAGTATGATTGGGAATACATATGTGATAAAATTGCTGCTGACATTAATTTTGTTTTCTTTTTGTAGGAGGAAGAGGAGGAGGAGGAATTAGTGGTAAGAGCTGTCTTGGGTTTGGAACCATCACAGTAAAAGAAGTTTGAGTCTTGTGAAAGAAACTCTGAAGCCATTTTAAGAAGTTTTTATGTTAGACACCTTGGAGAGAATGGGAGTGGAAAAGCCTTTAATACTTCCTTCCTGTGTAGTGGAGTACTTGGGGATGTGGGCCTGGGAAGCTGAGTCTTTTCTGGGTTTTGGGCTTCTTTAGTTGTGTCAGGAAGTAGAGCAGCATCTAGAGGGCCTGGCGCTCAGTCATCTGCTGTTGGTGGTTTAATAAATAATTCTGGAAGGAATTTTTCCTGGATGGTTCTTCTTTGTATTAAAATTGCTTTTCTAGCTAGGCAGCTGAGGTATATAGGCCTTGCTGTCAGATGAAGGGAATTGAAATTCACAGACATTATGTATCCCAAAATGCTGTGTTAACAAGTAAGGCCTCCTGTAGATCTACTTCAAGTTTGGCCAGGTTTCCTTTACCACCTTGTTTTTCAGATAGGACTGAGGCTTTCAGTGCATACTGGCAACCTTGGAAGGCAGGAATATGAAACTTTTTCCTACTACTTAGCATCAGAATTGAATGGGAGACCCCATTCTGCCATTTCTGGTGGCAGTGTGGCTCTGCCAGCTGGCCTTCTGCACGGTAATTCAGAGGCAGCACCTTGGTTTGGTGGTTGTATTAATCAAAGCATATGGTTCATGGATTGCCTCCTAAAACCCTCATTTTGGTTTTTTGTTTGTTTGTTTCTCCATCAGGATCCCCTAACAACAGTGAGAGAGCAATGCGAGCAGTTGGAGAAATGTGTAAAGGCTCGGGAGCGGCTAGAGCTCTGTGATGAGCGTGTATCCTCCAGGTCACACACAGAGGAGGACTGCACGGAGGAGCTCTTTGACTTCTTGCATGCAAGGGACCACTGTGTAAGTCAGCCTAAAGTCAGGAAGGGGGAAAGTTTACAGTGGCCAGGGAACACTTGGTTCTGACAACCTTCCCATCCTGACATTTATTGTGGCCCAATATGTGCTGGGTATAGTACTGAGCACTTTGCGTAAGTAATCTTACCTAATCCTACCACTTTCCCTGGAGGCAGGTATCATTATCCCTTCTCTGAGCCTCAGAGAAGAGGCATGATATCCCAACATGTATTTCTAAACAGTGGGAAAGCTGAATTTTATACTTTTAAGTAACAGGCTATTCTTTAAAAGAATTTATATCCTCCAATGTGTCTTTTACATAGAAGTTGGTCCAAAAAGTTTTGTTTTTTTAAAAATAAACTTGTGCTTCACTCTTACATATAATACTAACTTAATTTAAATTGTAGGGAAGGCAGAGTTTGACTTGGTTGTTGCTTATGTTAAAACTGATTGTGTGGCTAATAAGCATATGAAAAGATGTTCAACACCATTAGCTATCAGGGAAGTGCAGATTAAAACCACAATGAGATACCACTTCATATCCACTAGATTGGTTCCAATAAAAAAGATAGGTAACAAGTGTTGGCCTATGTGGAGAAATTGGAAACCTCATACACTGTTGATGAGAATGTAAATTGGTACAGCCTGTGCAAGACAGTCTTAAAGTTCTTCAAAAGGATAAACATAGAGTTGCTATGTGACCCAGCAATCCAACTCTTAGGTGTATATATACCTAAGGGAAATGAAAACATTTCTACATAAAAACCTGTATGCATATTCATAGAAATGTTATTTGTAATAGCTAAAAAGTAGAAACAACCTAAGTGTCTGTGAACCGATACATGCATGTAATGAAATATTTGGCCAAAAAAAAAAAAAAAAAAAAAAAAATCAAGCTCTTTAGCCAAAATCTAAATACACTTTACTATATTGATGCAGCAATTCCACTTCTGGTTATATACCCAAAGGAATTGAAACTTCAAGGATTTGAAGACGATATTTCTGCATGCATGTTCATAGCAGCATTCACAAAAACCCATTAATAGATGGATGGATAAACAAAGTGTGATATATACATGCAATGAGATATTACCCAGCTTTAAAAAGGAAGGACACTGACACATGCTACAACATGAATAATACTTGACATACTAAAATAAACCAATCACAAAAAGACAGATACCATTTCAATTATATGAGATGCCTTAAGTAGTCAAATTCATAGAGGCAGGAAGTAGAATGGTGGTTGCTAAGGGCTGAGGGGACTTACTATTTAATGGGTACAGAGTTTCAGTTTAGGACCATGGGAAAATTCTGGAGATTAATGATTGCAGGACCGTATGAATGTACTTAATGCCGAAGCAAAATGTATTGTTGAAAATGGTTAAGATGATAAGTTTTATGTTATTTAAATATTTTTATGAGCAAAGCACTAGATTAAGATCTGAGAGTGAGATAGGCATGGTCCCTCCCTTCACTATGAGCCAGAGAATGGTTAGTAAACTGGTAAGTCTCTTGGCTTTCACTGATCCTCTTATTTATTTATAAATAATATGTATTTATTTTTAGAGAGAGGGGAAGGGAGAAAGGGAGGGAGAGAAACATTGATTGGTACCTCCTGTACCCTGACTGGGGACAAAACCAGCAACCCATTCATGTGCCCTGACTGGGAATTAAACTGGCAACCTTTTTCTTTGCAGGAAGGTGCCCAACCGAGCCACACAGGTCAGGACTGACACCCACATTTAAGGATGCTATGCCTCCCCTCACACCATTTTATTTTCCTTGGTATATATCACTATCAGAAGTTACTTTATGTGTCCTGACTGGTGTGGCTCAGTGGGTTGAGTGTCGTCCCACAAACCAAAATGTTGCCCGTTCAGTGCCCAGTCAGGACATATGCCTGGGTTGCAGGCCAAATCCTCAGTTTGGGGCATGCAAGATGCAACTGATTGATGTTTCTCTCCCTCTCCTTCTCCCTCCCTTCCCCTCTCTCTAAAAATAAATAAAATCTTTTTTTAAAAAAGTCACCTTATGTGTATATTTCTCTGTTTATCTCTAAGTTCCATAAGAGATGTTGTTGTGTTTACTGTTGTAACTCAGCACCTAGAACTGTACCTGGCATATAGATGTTGTATAAATATTTGTGGAATTAATAAGAACTGAGATGGGAGGTAAAACGTTTCTATGGGGGAAGACAGAGGAGGGACAGATTTGTGTGGGGATAGCGCTTGTTTAGAGAAGGCTTTCATTTTAAATTCTAAAGGAAAAGATGAAAAAACAGAAAAAGAGTTCCAGGTAGAAAGGAGATTCAGGTAACTAAGGGGAGTGCACTACGGCTCAGAAGTGTGTGAGTGTGTGAGGAGTGGTGAGAGTAGGGGGAGTGCCGTTCCAGGTCTTGAAGAACCTTGTAAGCCTTGACATTAAAGCTGCCAATTAATGACTTCTTTTCTTTCCTCCATCTAGGTGGCCCACAAACTCTTTAACAGCTTGAAATAAATGTGCAGATTCTTTCACCCATGGGCACCACCTGGGCATCAGGATATTTCCTCATGGTCTTGAACATGCCATTTGTTTCTCATTTGTGTAACTGTAAGTTCATGTGAACTTCATGGATTTGGTTAGGCAATATCTTCTGTGTAATTAGCAGTGGTTCTATCTAATAAAGTCCAGTAATCTACAGACATTTATTTAGAATTTTTTTAATTGGAAAATTTCAAACATAAAGATAGAATAATAAACAATCCTCTGTGCCCATCAAATAGCATGAGTCTCTTTAATGATAAGGACTTTATTTTTTTTTAAATTTACTTTGATGTCTTTTATTTCATTTTATCACATTTAAAATGAACAGTAGCCCTGACTTATGTGGCTCAGTTGGTTGGGTATCGCACTGCAGAACAAAGAGTTGCTGGTTTGATTCCTGGTCAGTGCACGTGCCTGGGTTGCTGGCCCAGTCCCCAGTTGGGGAGAGTGCAAGAGGCAGCTGATCGATGTTTCTCTCACACATTAATGTTTCTTTCCCTCCCTTTCTGCCCCCCCTAAAAAAATAATAAATTTTTTAAAAATAAAATTAAAAAATGAACAGGAATTGCTTATTAAACACCCAGTTCATCTTAAAGCTTATCTCAAAAGTCTCCTGACAGTTTTTGATTTCCGTGTCCAACAGTTTATTTTTCTTAAAAATTTTTTTTTTTTTTTTTTTTTTAATGCTCTGGCTGGTGTGGTTGAGTGGATTGAGTGCCAGCCTGCAAACCGAAAGGTAGCTGGTTCAGTTCCCAGTCAGGGCAGTCTAAGCAGATGAGAAAGGGTCACGTGGGTAGACAGTGCTGGCAGTGAGAGCTTGGTTACATACTTACAGGTGGGATTGACCCAATAAATAAGTGTATTGAAGATAATGGAAGGTAGCAGAGAATGAAGCTGCAAATATGGAAAAGGAAAAAAACCAGAATGAACTCTGCAGTGTTAAGGTATTGGTATAAACTAAGTAAATATAGATTTCAGTGTAAGTAAATGTAGATGCCAATATGTGTAAGTGTGGGGAGTAAATATATTCCCTAGCTCAGCCCACAAAGAGGGAGGGTTTCATTCTCCAATAAAAGGAACAGGGCCCTTGGAGAAACGGGTGATTCCAGGGCTAGGCAGGGGAAATACAAGGTAAGCCTGGAACATTTTGTTGTTCCAGAAAGGAAGTGCTCAAAGAACAATAGGAACATGTTGGAAGTACACAAAACCACTAGTCACATTTGGGACAATTGGAGCATCAAAATATATGATGACAGTATATATTATAGCCCATTGAATAAAATAGGAATCCATGAATCCATACTAACATAAGTGAATCTATTGAAAGTTTGGTGAGGAAGGGAATACATACTACTTACAAAAGGAGGAAGTACACTGGAGAAGCTTGGCAGACAGTAACTTGGATTAAAGTTGACATCACCAGTAATGGGACATAACTACCACCTACAGGCAGCAATGAGTAAAAAAATGCATCACTGATTCTAAAAAAAAAACAAAAACATCTGAATCTAACCAGAAAAAATGAGGGACATAAAATTAGACATTGTATAGAACAGTATATGTTTTCCATATAACAGTAAATAGTGATGAGGCTCTGCAGTACTGCTAGTATTTTTTTTTAATTGACATCTGTTGGCTACTTTATTTTTCACTTTAAAGACAAGACTTAAAACCACCAAATTTACTTAGCAACCTGAAAGAATCAAAAATAGGTGTAATTCTAAAGTGGCTTCAATAACCCAAATATTGTGAGTACTAGTAGACTTTACTGAAACAAGGTAAAATATAAATATTTGATTCTGTACTTATTTTGAAGTGTTAAATCAGTTACAGATGTTTACTCTGAAAGAGGCTACTACTATGAAGACTGCAAACTCAAATACTGATAATGATCATTCAAAGTTCAGTATATGAAATACCTAGATTATAGGTTGAAATGGAACCTGTGGTCAGTATAATATTCATTAGCAACAGTTTTTTTTTAAAGACATAGAAGGATTGTTTTAATATAAATCAGGAGTTTTAAAATGATCTCTAGTGCTTTCAATTGTCACATGCCAATGAACCAAAGACCCAAATAATTTCAAATGATCAGATACTTTTTAGGCAACAGTTTTCATGTGTCAGTACTTTTAATATTGTATACATGCAATTATAGTAAAAAGATAACTATAAACAAGATGTAGCTCCTCCACTTCCATGATCAGCACACTGCATTACAGTAAGCCAAATTTACATTCCACCATCAAGTGTGGCTCTCCCATTAGCTCACTTTGTGATGGGTCATTAAGAATGTCTTCAAATCCAATAGTCTCATCATTACCACTCAAAATACCAGTGAAAGGTTTGAGCTTGGACGAAATGGAAGATGCTAAACCTGTTGTACTGCCTTGAATTCCATTTGCAATTTTAGTGGAGCAAACAGACTGGATGTTTCTCAGTGTGGAAAAATACATTTTATCCTGGTTGAGCTGGAATTTTTTTCTGATAATTCAAGAGGACGACTGGGCAAAAGTTCATTTTTCACACAAGTAAAACCTCTTTGAAGAAGATCATGACTTTCAAAAGGTCCACTTGCTGAAAGTTCAGTAGCTGGAATACTGTCCTTTAGCTGAGAGCCAAGTCCTCTGGTGTTCATATTGCTGTGTGAACAGCCTCTTAGGGCAAGTACTCTTAATGTCCATGGCACTGCTAGTATTGTATGTTGCTCAAGGGATAAGTGGGGTCAGTACTGTCCAATAGAATATTCTGCAGTATGTCCTGGCCGGTGTGGCTCGGTTGGAGGATCATCCCATTAGAAGAAAGATTACAGGTTTGATTCCCAGTCAGAGCGCATGCCTAGTTTATGAGTTCCTGGTTGGGGCACATATGAGAGGCAGCCAATCAATGTTTCTCTCTCACATTGCTGTCTCTCACCCTCCCTCCCTCCCTTCCTCTCTCTCTTAAAAAAAAAAAGGGGGATAAAAAGAAACCATGGAATTTCTGAAGCTTAAAAATATATCTGAAATAAATTTATTGGATAAGATTAACAAAAAAATCAATGTACTAAAATGTTCTTCAAGACAGCAACAGAAACAAAGACTGAAGCGCACACACACAAAAAAGAACAAATCCTGAAGTGTAAGAGGAAAAAAAAACACTAAAAATAAATGACCAAGGAAAATGCTGTGGGATAATAGCAAATGGTCTGGAAGAGAAGTGTGGAAGGAGAGGCAGGGAGAAAAAATATTTGAAGCAGTAATGGTTGAAATTTTCCAAGTTTGATGAAAGTTATAAACTAGTTCCCAGAAACTCAACAGACCCCAGACAGAATAAACACAAAGGAAATCACACCAACTCACTTATCCTCAAATTATTTTAAACTAGTGATAAAAAAAAAAAATCTTAAGAGAAAAGATGCATTACATACAGAGGCACAAGGAATTACTATGCAATTCATAAGAAACTCATCTTTAGAGTTGAAAGAAGAAAATTTTGACTCAAGGATTCTGTATCTGTCCTCACCAGAATAACTCAGTTGGGTGAGTGTTATCCCATAAAGTAAAGGGTCACTGGTTCAATTCCTGGTCAGGGCTATTGCCCAGGTTGCTGGCCTGGTCCCTGGTTGGGACCCATGCAGAAAACAACTGATCAATGTTACTCTCACACATTGATGTTTCTCTCCCTCTCTCCCTCCCTTGCCCTTTCACTAGAAATAAAATCTTAAAAAAAAAAAAATTCTGTATCTATTAAGAATTACCTTAAAGCAAAATAGAAATGCTTAGTCCTGGCCAGGTAGCTCAGTTGGTTAGAGCATTGTTCTGATATAAGAAGGTTGTGGGTTCGATCCTGCATGAATGGGTGGAACAACAAATTGGCATTTCTCTCCCTTTTCTTCTCTAAAATAAATTAAAAATAAAAATAAAAATAAAAATGCTTAAACAAATGAAAGGTGAGAGAATTCACTGTCAGCAGACCTGGGTTGCAAGAAATATTAAGGGAAGCGCTCCCCTGACTGGTGTGGCTCGGTGGGTTGTGTGTTGTCATGCAAACCTAAAGGTGGCTGGTTCAAGTCCCAATCAGGGCACATGCCTAGGTTGTGGGCCAGGTCCCTGGTTGGGGAAATAGAGAAAAAAATCACCTCTGGCTGAAAAATAGAATATCAAGAAATTTCATTCATAATGAAAAAAACACTTCCTTTCCTTCTCACCCTGCATTCCCAAGAAAAAAATTGAGAAACACCCAACTCTAGGCTGTCAGATTGCTTCACTGTTCAATTTTTAATAATTTAAGCAAGAAATAATACCAATTGAATAAAGATTCTTTCAGAAAACATAAGTGAAGGGACACTTCCCAAACTATATGAGGCCAGCACTACCCTGATATCAAAATCAAAGACATTATAGGAAGAGAAAATTGCAGGCCAATATTCCACATGAACGCAGATGCAAGAATACAACAATGTATAAAAAGAACAATACACCATAAACTAGTGTTTGTTTTTTTACAGGAATACAAAGTTGGTTCATCATTTGAAAATCAGTATAATTCATCATTTAACAAAATAAATAAGAAAAACCATGTGATCTCAATAGATGCAGGAAAAGCATTTGAAAAAAATCGACAACTATTCATGGTTTAAAAAAAATCTCAGCAAACTAGAAGTAGGATGGAACTTCTTTTTAAAAAAATTATTTATTGATTTTAGGAGTGGGGGGAGACATCGATTTGTTGTTCCACTTATTTATGCATTCATTCATTGATTCTTGTATGTGCACTGACCAGGAATTGAACCCACAACTGTGATGTATCAGGACAACACTCTAGCTGACTGGGTTACCTGACCAGGGCCAGAAAGGAACTTCTTTAAAACAAAAACAAAAACAAAAAATCGGCCCTGGTTGGCATGACTCAGTGGGTTGAGCTTTGGCCTACAAACCAAAAGGTCACTGGTTCAATTCCCAGTTGGGGCACATGCCTGGGCTATGGGCCAGGTCCCCAGTTGGGGGTGTAGAAGAGGCAACCAAGCAATGTTTCTATTGCACATTGATGTCTCTTTCCCTCTTTTTCTTCCCTCCTTCCTCTCTCTCTAAAAAATAAACAAAACCTTAAAAAAACACACAAAACTATAGCTAACATATATAATAGTGAAATACTGAATGCTTTCCCTCTAAGAATGGGTACTAGGCAAAGATGTCTGTACTACCACTACTCGGATTCAACCATAAATCATAACCCGTAGGTTAAAGCAACAAAA